TGTTAAAAATAAACATTGTGAATTACTGCCCATAAATCCCCTGTTGGTTGAAAGACACTTGCCTGGATCATTTTGCTACATGCAATTTCTTTGTAGTGAACTAGATTTGGCCTCGGTCGTAATTACTTGAGTTCATTGAACTCAAGTAATTATGAACTCAGTTCAATGAACTCAAGCAATTATGAACTCAACTTGAGTTCAATGAGTTCCTGGTGTGCCCAGGTTCTAATGTAAAGAAGGGTGACATGGTATGAATTTGCACAGCTTAGAGATACCATGGACTGGTTGACTCTATTTCTGGTTTGATTTTCAATAGCAAAAGGCTGTTTTGTACTAAAAGATCAGGTAACCAGGCACAACAAGATGCGTTGCCAAAGAATCCCTTTGGCTCAAGAAAAAGAGACTCTAGTTTGGCTGGAAAAGTCAGCGCTGGGATGTGGCAGTGCTTGTCAGTGTCAACAACGAACCGGGCCCTGCATAAAGGAGTAGGCGGGGGGTCACTTGAATCCAAGGCCCTTTGGCGAGTCCCATCTCCCCCTTCATTCATTCAGCAATGATGTGCTGAGCACCTGCTATAGCAAAGCACTGCCAAGCGAAGAGCCAAGCAGAAGTCAGGAGCCTCTCAGCATCTTGCAAGGGAGCCAGTGTTTAGTATCTGGCAGCAGTGTTCACCTCCTTGTTGAAAGATAAGAAACACCTAGAGTGCAGATTACCAGCCAACACAGACTTTCTCAATCAGAAGCACCAGCGAAGAGTTTGGAGTCTGTGTATGTGTATCGAGGTAAAATAGACGTAAGGAGTTCCTGAAATCATTGGTTCCGATCATTCTCCTGTCCCCCTGCTTTTCCGGTTGTTACAGTGAAAGGGCCATTTTACATGATGTCACCCTTCTGGAGTCTGCATTTTTAATTTAGGCCTTGAATGTTCTTATTGGCTCAGGCTGGGAGTCTCAGGTGTAAAGGAAGCAACAACTGGGGAATCAGCTGAATTCTCAGATAAGAGACCACCTGGCTGATAAGTGCATTCAACAAGCATTTGAATGCAGTCAACAAGCATTTACTGGGCAAACGAAGGGTACAGAAGTAGAAAAAACAGACATGGTTCCTCCTCTTATGGGGCGTTTATGTTCTGGGGAGCAAATCACTTCATCAAACAATTTTCATATAAAACAAGAGTTTGAACTACATTACTTAAAGGTATGTTGGGTCCAAATATACGTGATTTGAGTAAACATAATTCAAATAAACATGATTCTAGAAAAGAAAATCAATCTCATTTTGTAAGAAAAACTCCGGCAAATGTTAAATTATCCAGGGACCAGAAGGCGACCCCCCTTCTTTGAAAGAAAGAGGGCACAGAGGTGAGTGGAGAGGCTGCCTTGGGAAACCACAGGGTAGGATCACCTGTACCCAGGAGTGGCCTGTGGACATGGCACACCGGGACATGCTGTGATTCCTGGAGAAAAATCGAACTTAAAGGGCCTTAAGCAGAAAAGAAAGTGAACTGAGACTCACGTGAGAGGACGACCTGGAAAGATGAACGTCCAGCAGGCAGCGTTACAAAACCCGGGTAGTCACCAGGACCTCGTCCCTCTCCATTTCTTAGCTCTTCTTAACACACAGCTGGACCCAGCAGCCCAAATATTATCAGCGCTCGGTCCTCTCCTTCAGGTAGGAGGACCCTGAAGAGGAGCAGCACCAAGCGCCTGTCCTCTGAAGCAATTCTAGCGGAAAGGGTTTCTCTTAACCTGCTCTGGGAGAAAGGCTGAAAAGACGACGCTGACTGGCCCATCGTGGCCCAATGACTGTGGCCGGAAGGCTGAAACTCTTGTGAGTGGTCAGGCCTGCATATGGAGGTCAGCCCCATGAAAGGGCTGGGAGGGACTTTTTGTCATCAAAAAGGAGCATGGGGTATCATTCTCTAAAGTGAGAGATGCTGGTGAACAGCACACAACCTGGCGTGCCATCTCTAAAGCAAGAGATGCTGGGGAAAATTTTCATAACATTGCTGGTGTTGGCTTCCAAGGCCAGCCAGCAGGGGCACCAGTGTCCCTATAAAGATGTCTAATTGGGTCAGAGCTGGGGCATGGCATTCTGCAGGCAACTTCTACCCTGTCTTTGTAAGGTTGCGTGAACCGGAGATTTGGAGAGCAATACAAGGTAGAAGCAGCCCGAACAATCTACGACAAAGCAACACTTGCCTCTTTTATACACCATGCTAGGTGGTCGAGGAAAATAAAACATTTTCTTGAAAAGAATCCCTAGGCCTATTCCCTAGGCTTGAGAAACACCACAGCATAGGTAACTTGGTGCCAGAATGAGCTGTTTGACCCTCCACTAACTGTTACTGCTCCTAATGTGGCACTTTCTGCCCCTGTCACCGGAAACAGCACTGAGGACGTCCAACAAGTATTTCCAACAGGCTTTCCAGACCCCTCTTTTCTTTTTGCAGGTGGGAGCAGTTTGGGCATTACCTTTAGGTTCCAATACAAGGCTCCTTGTTGCTCACACATCCTTCCTCCATTGTGACCCTCCATCAACCATATGGATAACCTCCCACACACTCCTCAGAAGCCACAGGTGAGGTAGCAGTGCCGGGTGGCTTCTGCCCAGGCCTCTGCGAGCATCCCCAGGTACGCAAGTATGAGCATACTTTTATTGTGTTAGGCAGGGCAGAGTGATTCAATCTAAGGTTGAGGCAAGGTGAGGGCAGCTGGGAACCCTAGAACTAATGAAATTTCTTAACTGCAGCGTCTCCTGACCATAGAAGGGAAGGGGAGCTCCCTTTCAGGAAACAGACTAAGTCTTTTAAAGTGGTGAGTTTTCAGCTGAGATGTGGAGGGAGCATAAATCACTTGGCCCACATTCCTCCCCCATTCCCTGACCATCTTATAGCATTAATACTCCACCAGATCATATAGGCAATGACTTCCCTTACTTACTAGACCTCATCTAATCTTGACTTAGTTACCACAGTTCTAGTGTACGTTGGCTATTTTCCCCACTCTCCAAAAGATTAGAAACAGTGAGTTATCTGTGTGCTAGAAAAGAGTGTTCATCCATAGCAGATGGGAAAACAGCATTCATTGGACAAATACTCATTGAACTCCTGCACTGTGCCAGGCATTAGTAGAGCAGTAAGCAAGACAAAGTTCTCACCCTCATTAGAGCTAACAGGCATTAATCAAATAATTGTACAAATGTTTACAGTTATGAGCAATGCTGTAAAAGAAAGGCAGGAAGCTATCAGAGCTTGTAGTATCATTTGTAGCAGGAGGACCAATCCTAAATTCCTGGGATCAGGGAAGGCCTCTAGAAGACTTAACAAGAGACACGAAATAAACATCATTCAGGCCAAAAGGAGGAGCAGGGATCCTGAGAAGCTTGGAGCCCAGGAACCCACGAAAGGTCAGTGTAATTGGGGCAGAGAAGGCAGAATAATGTGAGATGAAGGTAGAGAGATAGGCAAGGCGCCAGTTCAGACAAGGCCTCTTGGTCATGTTAAAGATTCTCGACCTAACCAGAGTTTTCAGCAGAGAAGTGACAAAAGATTTGCACCTTTATAGATTTTCTCGGCTAGGCATGCGGAGAATGGACTGAAGGTGGGTGTGGATATGGGTGGAAGAGCAAATGGGCTACTATTGAATCCATGGGAGAGAAGGTATACCTATACCTTGGGCAGTTTTAGGGCATGATTACAAGTAAAAATCAACTGGTTTAAACATGGGTTAGGTGTGTCAAGTTTAGGAGAGGCAGGGGTCAAGGATGATCCCAGATCTCTGGGATGGGAAATTCAGTGGGTAGTGGAGATATTTACTAAGGAAGGGAGCCCTGTAAGAATTTGGGGTGGGAGAGGATTATGAATTCTACTTTGGCTACACTGGCTGACAGGTGCATGTGGGACATCCACGTGGAGTTGCAGAAGTACTAGATATGAGTCTGGAGCCCAAGAATGGTCTGAAACTGTGCATCTAGTAGTATATATTTGGGTTAGAGATGGAAATGGAGGCCATGGGCTTAGGTGAGCTCACCTAGGGAGAAAGTATGGTATTAGAACAGGGCTGAGGAATGAGCACTGAGAAAATCTACCATTTCAAGCTGCAGTGGGAGACAGTAACAGAATTGGGGAGATACGGAAGCAGGAAAGTGGCAGCCAGATTCCACGTTGGCCTCCAATGACACCACCTCCTGGTATTCATGTCCTTGTGTAGTCTCCTCCCACACTGAATATGGCTAACCTGTGTAAATACATGAGATTGTGGAAATGACAATGCATGGCTGTGGCTTGAGTATAGTATCTTTTTAAGATCTCAGAAAGGCCTGATGTGGCACCCCAGAGAGCTGTTCAGACAATAAGGCTTCTAAGAAGCACAGCATATTGTCCCTTGGCAGCTCACGGTGGAGGACTTACCTCAGAGATTTGTAGGTGTGGCTTTTGTGAGTGAACTGCAATAAAACTCAGGTGACACATTCAAAATAATGTTCCCAGCACCACTGCCAGCTTGAATGGAAAGGAATATAGTGCAAAATGTTAACACAGCCATTTGACCCCTAAAATCCTTCTGGCAGGAAGCAGGCAGAGAAAGCTATGTAGCTGGAAATGTGGGCAACCTTTCATGGAAAAGGAAGGATGACTCATATGAGGCCAAGAGCCCAGCCTCCAAGATTGCCTTTGACCATCTCCATCTTCTGGTATAATACGGAAATACCTTTGTGTATTTCCTTCCCCTACCAGATAGGATTGACTTGCATAACCAATATACTGTGGAATGACACTGTGACATTTGAGGCCAAGTCATAAAGGACAATGCAGCTTCCACCCTGCTGTCTTGGATGACCTGCTCTGGGGAAACCACTTGTCACTTGATGAGGATATTCAAGCAGTTCTGGAACAATACACGGCAGGTGCTCATATGCGTTAACCTCAGGCTAATGCAAAAGCTTCTTTATGATAGAAAAGACTCCAAACACATTTTCCTAAAAACAACCACTACCATCACCTCATATTGATGTTGCAATTTATATTAAAAGTACTTTCACCACATCTTGCTTTATGCTCCCAATGAACCCTATGAGGTGGGTGGGTTTATAGAAAGGGCAAATGCAGTCAGTCCCAGGTCCCAAGTGAGGAAGCTAAGTTCTAAAGGGCTTCTGTTCCTTGGTTAAGGCCACACATGATATTCATGGTGTCGGTGTTCTGACATCAAGTTCAGAGCTTTTCTGAAAACATCCAGGCAGCATTCAACAGGGATTTCTCATCTATTTGTAGATACTCTCAGAGTAACTCTAGCAGAACTTTCCACAGTAATGTGTCCCCCTTGTAATGTTCTCATGTTATCCTTTCTGTAGCTGGAGCCATGGACAGACATGGACTCTGTCTTCTTTCCACTTGGATTCCTATGCAACAGTGTAACTGGATCATCGGTAACAGTTCGTGGGTGGCCAGACAGTGCTGCCACTGTTCAACATTCCTCACTGGAAGCTGTCTTCAGAGAGCCAAACTTCTTCCCAGTAAGAAAACCAGTCTATGAGTTTAGAGCTATGCTTCATTTTTTAAACTAAAAATGGCATTAGCTTGATTGACTCCCTTAATCATCAGATTTTTAGCTGCTTCCTTTTCGCCTTCTTGGAGGCCAAAACTTTAGAGCATATCCAAATACACTTGTTGCAGGCTCTGAGGGCACACCCAGACATTCCAGAAAGTCCAGTAGCAACAGCCCTCTAAAGAGAACACTGAGGAAGAAAGCCCTCATAAGGAATGTACCATGAAAATTCTGATAAAAAGAATGGCTATGTGTGTTAAGGAGCACTTTGTATGCTTTAATTTAATCCTCAAAAGAATCCTATGAGGTAGGATAAAGGCCTAAACATCAAACATTACCATGTGTTCACATAGGCATAGTGCCCCGATATCACAAAGGGCGAAAGTTAACACCTAAAATGGACACTGTGAATAGCTAATTCCTCTCCAGCAATAGCTACCATCCCCTCGAGGACTGCTCTGTTAGGGATCTGGGCCAATTTGGCATTTTTCACATGCTTTCAAGCCTGATAGTGTTTTGTCATTCCCACATCAATCAGAGGTTTTAGGTAGATGCAGAGTGCATAAAACGGAAATAAGTGTATCTTGCCTTCTAAGAAATTCAAGACAGACATCTCCAACCCAACTAAGCCTACTTCTATGGCTCCAAACTGACTTCTATTGTACCCACCTAAAACAGAAGGACATAAGAAATGAAATTTCAAACTAATCTCTGCTTCTTTCTTTTCATTCCCATCTGGCTTAGTGCAAGGAAGTAAGAAATAAAGATTCAATCCAAGAACCTATTCGTAAGCAGCAATTTGAAGAGCCAATGTTTGGCAACAGATACCACTGTACACATTTTAAAACCCATGTTTCTTGAGAACCATCTCAGCCAACTGTGATCACCTTATTTCTGGCCCCTCCTTCACAGTGACAGAATCACAGAAGAAGGCAGCCAGATGAGAACTGCTATAATCAGGAGGAAAACCAATAGCCCATCCCAAATAAAACACTCTGAGTCACGACTTCCAGAACTTCTGCCATGACCATGGGCTTTAAACCATTCCACTGCTTCCTGGAGGTCAAATGGCTGAGCCTTATAACCTAGCTCTTTCTTGGCTTTCTCTAAGCTAAAATAATGTGTGACACCAGTTTTGTAAACTTCAGTGCGAGTGAGGAAGGGCTGGAAGTTGTAGAGTCGACCCAAAATGAAGTGAACCATCTCTGTTAGAAAAGCAAAGCAGTAGACCAAGGTCAATGGCAGGCGGGTAGATGGGAACGTGTAGCCCAGGCCCTCAACCAGAGGCCGGAAGAACTCAAAGTTGTTCACGGGTCTGCCATCTGAGATGAAGTAGGGCTGCCCAGAGGCAATATGGCCCTTGTCAGCTCTCAGGGCTTCTGAGGCCAGAATGTGAGCCTGCACCAAGTTATCCACGTGGACAAACTCAACCAGGCTCCTGGGGTCCCCGTAGACAAACTTGAACAGACCCTTCTCAATGTAGCTGACTATTCTGGGAAGGTGTCTTTGTTCTCCAGGCCCATAGATGCCAGCTGGCCTCAGAGCGCAGGTTCTTAAGACACCGTCGCCTCTGTCCAGGGGTGTACCATTCGCCTCCAGCACCTTCTTCTCTGCAATAGACTTTGTCCGAGAGTAGTGATCAGGGTGGAGGTGAAGAGGCAGGTAGGGCAGAGATTCATCCCCATTTCTGATAACTTGACCTCCAAAGATGACATTGAAAGTGCTGGTGTAAACTAACCTGGGCACCCTTCTTCTTTGGCAAGCCTGGAGGATGTTGTCTGTGCCCCCGATGTTGACTTCTTCGATCAGGTTTCGATTGAGTTGCTCCCGCCCTGACATACCATAAGAGGCAATATGGAACACACAAGTGATGTCTGCATCCTGGAAGGCTTTCTCTATGTCAGACAGGTGGCGGATGTCTCCTTGTATAAACTTGATTCCTTCTGGAATGGTTTCAGTAGGGCTGCTGATGTCAAACAGAATCACGTGGACTCCCTTTTGGTTCAGAGCACAGCCCAGGCTGAAATGAGAAACGGTAAATGTTGCATCAAGTCGCTCTTAAGCTGTGCGTAGGGGAAGTGTATAAAGTAATTTACCAATCAAGGTGGGGCTGATCCAAGTCTTCTTGGCTCATCCTGAGCCCCTCACTATGCGTGTTCCTTGGTGCAAGGTTCACTTCTTCAAATTTTCAAAAGTGAGAATCCTCTCAACTACTTAAATTACAAAGAGAGAGGCTTTATCTTCAAAGAATGGTGGCATTTTTTCCCTTTGGTTCTAGGGCCCACTATCTATTCTTTGGAATTTTTGAGAATAATAACATAACTGTGAAAGAACAGCTATGATTTAAAATTGTTTTTGGTGATGTGAATAGTCATCCCTCCCAATTTCACAGCTTTATAAAGAATTTTTCTTAAAGTGAAATATACCTGTAGTTCTCAACTGCAGTATCTGAGCAGTGGGCAACACAGTTCATTTCTAGTTTGACATTATACAAACAAGTAAAAGTCTACTCTGTTGTCAGAGTTGAAAGCTTCTGGCAACTACTAGTAAAATAATTCCATGTGTATATTTTATAGACACACTTACCGAAAACCAAAATAGCCACCTCCTCCTGTAATGAGGACAGTTTCCTTTTGAGATCTTTTGGGGTCCATATGTGGCAGTCAAAAGATAACTGGACCTGTAAGAAGTATGCATCACTGTTACTGATCCAAATGCAAGTATCATTCTCCCTAATTTTGAGCTAACAAAACCAAAAAGTCAATATGCTGTAGTAGAATGAAAAGGTAAGGCCTGGATCTAGTCATAGCTGTGTCATTTAGCTACTTTCCCTTCAGTTCCTGGGCTTCAAATTTCTCCTGACGTAACATGGGGACAGTAATGTCTGCTCTGCCCACCTGAAAAGGTTAATGTGGAGGTTAAATAAGATAATGTAATTGGCAGTGCTTTGAGAAACACAAAAAATGTTTCAAATGTAAGGCATTATTGTTAATTCTTGAAAATGATTAGAGCCTTTTTGAAAAGAATTGATTCAAATTTGGTAGGAAGAGGCATTTCCCCCCCACCCCCCCATGCATCAGAAAATTAGAGAGCACTCTAAAGGAATCTCCCAAAATCTTTTCTGTAAAATTGCACACTGCAGCATGGCTTAATACTGCTTTATTAACCCTATACTTAAAAAATATATATATGGGGAAAAACTCCTTTATGTAGCAAACGATGCCCTACCTCCCCCACTGCAAATCTTGTAGGTACTTAAAGTACAAGAGCTCAGTGCCTTTGAGGGGTCCCACTTCTCTTTCCCTCTTCTTCTGTGGCCCTCCCCATATTTCTTTCAAGGCTCCAATGACCCTTCTCTCAAAAACAAAACAAAATAAGCAAAAACTAAGATATCCAGCTCCTTCCATGTAAGAGGGAGAGAGGCCGGGTATGGTGGCTCACACCTGTAATCCCAGCACTTTGGGAGGCTGTGACGGGCGGATCACGAGGTCAGGAGATCGAGACCATCCTGGCTGACACGGTGAAACCCCGTGTCTACTAAAAATACAAAAAATAAGCCGGGTGTGGTGGTGGGCACCTGTAGTCCCAGCTACTCGGGAGGCTGAGGCAGGAGAATGGCATGAACCTGGGAGGTGGAGCTGGCAGTGAGCCAAGATCACGCCACTACACTCTAGCCTGTGCGACAGAGTAAGACTCCATCTCAAAAAGAAAAAAAAAAAAAAAAGAAAAAAGAAAAAATAGGGAGAGAAATGGAACAGGAAGCACACAGGTCCTCAAAGGCACTGGGCGCGTGCACACACACACACACACACACCCCACCAACACGTGCGCTCAAGTCAACACAGACGCTCAGAGCTGTGGTTAGGCATGAAGACTGCAAGCAATCAAGAGCCCTACCATTTCTTTTCCCCAGCCAGGCACCCACAACTGCAGTCACTGCACCATGTAAGTAGACTTCAACATGGAAGAGTGTGGAGATGGGAGGGGAGCGGGAGCAGCAGAGGCTGGGGCTAGGCAGGATGAAGAGCTTGTATGGCAGAGAGGCTATGAGTGTGGAGTCAGTGTACATGCATAAAGAAAGAAAAAAATATGGGGGACAGGAATACACAGTGAAGGCGTCTTGCCTCAGCCCTCAAGTGGTTACGTGATCTTGGTCAAGACACTTCTCTAGACTTCACTTTTCTCTTCTGTCTGGCTGTGTGTTGTGCTATGTTACAGGAATGCTAAGGTTTTTAAAAAGGCAGCATGGTACAGTGGAAATAATAAAGACAAACCCATACCTAGTGCTTACTACTAGGGCCAGGCAGCATGCTAACTGCTTTACGTGTATGTTAGCCAATTAATCCTTTTAATAATCTTACCAGGAAAGTACTATTAGATCCTGTTTTTCAGCTGAGAAAAATAAACCACAGAGACAGGAAATAAACTTGCCCAAACTTACCTGGATTCACACCCGATGGCAGTGTGGCCCCAGGAGCCCGTACGTACTCTTAACCACTAAAACACAGTCTTAAATGGAAAGAGAATGGACTTTGGTGTCCACTTACCAGTTGTGTGATTTTGGACTGTGTGTTTACCACATGTGTTAAAGACTCTGAGCCTGCTGCTTCATCTAACAGTGGAGCTGATAATAAGCCTGCATGAAGACTGCGTGGGATAATGTGCAAAAAATGTCCAACAAAACACCTGGTGCCGTATGGGCACTCCACAGATGTCATTTTTTTTTTTTTTTTTTTTGAGACGGAGTCTCGCTCTGTCGCCCAGGCTGAAGTGCAGTGGCCGGATCTCAGCTCACTGCAAGCTCCGCCTCCCGGGTTCACGCCATTCTCCTGCCTCAGCCTCCCGAGTAGCTAGGACTACAGGCGCCCGCCATCTCGCCCGGCTGGTTTTTTGTATTTTTAGTAGAGACGGGGTTTCACCGTGTTAGCCAGGATGGTCTCGATCTCCTGACCTCGTGATCCACCCGTCTCGGCCTCCCAAAGTGCTGGGATTACAGGCTTGAGCCATCGCGCCCGGCCCAAATGTCATTTCTTGAGTAGACTTTTCTTCACACTCCAGAGTTTAGAGATTCAACTAGCGTATCACATTTCCACATACCATGATTAGATCTCTCAAAAAGCACAGGGTTACAAAGAGTTTTGTAAGTTCTTCTGGACACCTGTGTGAGTGCATGAGACTGCCAATGAAACGAATCAGAGCACTCATGCAGAATCGGTCAGTGTGACAAGTGAAGACGAGGTTCAGCAAGTGACTGTCTCAGTGGCTTGACGGTATGGAGAAGAGTGAGAAATACTAGGGAAACTGAGCAAAATGGGTCAGAGGATGACTGATGAGTTCCCAAGGTTCCATTATGCAACTGCCACGGTTGTGCTTTCAAGAAAATTCATGAAGAATGAACGTGCCAGCACTCCCTCAATGTATCTAACAGTGACCTTGTGATTCTATTGTTTTCTGAGTGCAGAACGCTCCCATTTGGATTGAAAGTGGTCATAAAACCAAATGCAGTCAATTCTATTCTTTAGTGTACTCACAACCCTTCATGACAGTTTCACAACGTGGTAGACATCAGTTACTGATATTTCAGTACAGACTTCCCATGTTCACCTCCACGACCTGGTCACAGTCTCCCACTCTTCTGCCACTGGCATTCTATGCTCCAACTGCACAGACTTTCTTTCCTTTCCTTGAAGATGCTGACCTCATTAGTGCCTCCTGTTCTCACTTCAGTGTGACACATCGTGCACTAGGTCCTCTTCTAGCAGCATCTTTCTCAATATTTAGGTCTGCTCACAAGTCCTCAGAGAGGCTTCTCTGATCACCCTATCTAACAGAGCTGCTTGTACCCTAAACGTTGCTTTGTTTTCTTCATGGAACATTTTACTGTCTATCTAAAACTATTTACTTTTTATTATTGATCTCCTTCCCACAGAATGTAAAGTTCTATGAGAACTGAGGCCCTCTGTCTTCTGGGGTGTCCCTACTAGAATCCAGAACATAGTAAATGCTCAATAAATATTTTGTTGAATCTATGGATTATTCTGAACACCCTAAAATATATCCAATTTAGTAAAATTGTGATGGGCACAAATTACTTTACCCAGGGCTCTGCAGTGTTTAAGAGTCACTGTTCTGCATGACATTAATGCTGCCATTTTAATAATAACATATCTCCTAAAAAGTGCTGGGTTATGGAATGAAAGATACAAACCCAAATGAGACAGAGGTCCTGCTTTCCAGAGCTTACAAATGAGAAAGAGACTTCTACAGATATCAAAAGGAAAAGGCAAAAAAAAGATGAAAATAAAGTTATTGTTTTAATGTTGGTATAAACAAAGTGCAGTGGGAACACCAAGGTGAGGGGTAGGGAGACTGATTCTGACAGGGCAGATCAGGAAGAGTTCATGGGAGAGTGAGCTTTAGTGTTACAGGGCCCATGGGAGGATCTAGGTAGGCTGAGAGGAGGGTTATCACTGGTGAGGGTGAACCACAAATCAATGGATCAGAGGCAGAGAAGGCTGTGCTGGGCAGCTAACATGGGGAGTCCGCCATGGCTGGTGTGCAAACAGAAGCAGGGAGCTGGTGCTTGAGGGTGAAAAGACAGCCTGGACTGAACCTGGAGACAGGCTTCTGTCCCCTTCCATAAAGTGTGAATCCCATTTTTTTTTTTTTCGAGACAAGGTCTCACTCTGTTGCCCAGGCTAGAGTGTAGAGGTGTGACCACGGCTCACTGCAACCTTGATTTCCTGACCTCGAGAGATCCTCCTACCTCAGCATCCTGAGTAGCTGGGACTACAGGCGTGCACCATGATGCCTGGCTAGTTGAATTCCATTCTGCAGACAACAGAAGCCTTTTTAGGTTTACAGAAAGGAACTGTTGGGGCCACCTCAGTACTTGTGAAAGAGGAGGCTTCCCCTGGAGGAGGAAATGGGCCAGGGTCCAGGGAAGGGAGATGTGGCTCTAGGCTAGAGGGTTACCAGTGAGGACAAAAGGCCAGTGTGCTCAGGTGAAATCAGGGTGAGGGCTAGCGAACAACTGCAGGAGGTGGCAGCATGTTGTACCCAGATGATGTTCTGAGGAAGGCGATGTCATTAACTGAAACAGTAGGCTTTGGAAATGTTCTTGTCTGGCTGAAAGTTTTGACAAACAGGATGCCAGATAACGATTTAAGATCTTCTTAATATCTCTGTAAGAATTCCACCATAAGGAATTCTGAAAATGGACAAGGCCTTCAAAAGTCCAATTAAAAAATTCCAACGGAAATACCTATCTTTAATTAGTCTTTGGTTTTAAAATTACACATTCCAGTCCAGTCACAAGACCACAGGTCAATCATGGTTCATGTGCACATTAATCAAGTAAGGAACATACAACTTTGGATTATTAATGCTTCAGAAACCTGCCAGGCCTAATGATGCTACTCCATTACCTTCCCACTAGTTTCAGAATGATCTGAGGCAAAAACTTGTATAACTGATCTGATCGGGGGGTCAGAAGAGAAAGGTAAGGAAAAATTAATAACTTAACAAAATAAACAGCAAGGAAAAAGCTTATCCACCAGGCCAGTAAAGCCTTCACAGGATGGTAGCCATCTGCTGCACTGCTGGGAGCCGCCTCCTCCCTTCCTGATCCTCAACATTGATAAGCACGGAAAAATCTTAGCAAATGCATTTTGCAGACCT